CTCTCAGACAATGTAAGAGCACTCTATTAAATCTCCTACACGTTAAATCACAACATCGTCCATCGTCGTCTCCCTCGATCGCCCAGCCCCCTTTCACCTCTGTTAGATCATAGTCTTACAATAATACTCAAGGTCATCCATGCTTGCCCCGTTTTCATGAACAGGTGCCCTAAAATTCAGCCAAACATCTTCAGAGTCCCCCTATTTTCTTCTCCAACTTGCTTCTCACTATTACAGAATTTCAGTAAATAAATAAATGTTACTGAAATGGATATTGAGATAGCATGGTAAGGCAGGTAAAAAAAAAGAAGAAAAAAAAAGGAATTCGGGTTGTTGGGGAGTGATGCTACAAAAAAGCCTTTCCTTTCCCACAATCACAAATGTAAACCTGAACTTTGCTAAAAAATCTACTGAGACTTTTTTTGGGAGCTGTCTGCGTTGGTTGGATGAGAATACAATTCAATTTAAAAACACCTAACACAGGGAAGTCAAATGTTGTTGCAACTCGTCTAAGTTTCTTTAAAGAGCCGTGGTAGATGCTGTTTGATGTGGGCAGGAAGGATCTAGTAGCAGTCTGTATTTCAGCGAATCTGAAGAAGCCTCTAATTGAAGACACTTTGTTGTCATGAGGAGGATGCTCAGGGCTGATCATAATTTCTTTTAAAGAATCCTTCTTTGTACCATCATCTCCAGCGGTTCCTCAGTAGTCCCCAAAACAGAACCAGTCTTCTTAATCAGGTTGTTGAGCCTTTTTAAGTCCCTGACTTTGATGTTGAAACCTTAACAGATGATGGCAGAAGACAGTTCATGCTCCACAACAGACCTAAAGAAGAAATACACTCTCTTGCCGCTTTAAGAAGTTTCCACACAATGCCACAAAGCGGTCCGTCACCACTCTGTACTTTTCTTCTTGACCATCTATGTTATATCCAGATGACTTCATTGGCATCAAATTATTTCTGTGGATGACGCGAGTCTGTTTCGTACTGGACATCTGAAGTGTACGGCGCTCCTGTGCTGCTGACCACCTGGTTAGACACATGACCATTCAGTCTCACAAACTGATGTGTTTGTCATGTGATCATTAATCCAGGTGACTGTTGAGGCCTCCATTTGTGTCTTCTGGAGTATTTGACAAAACAAACAAGGCTGAATTGTTTTAGATGCTATGGAGAAATCAAAGCACATAATCCTCGCAGTGCTGCCTGCTTTTTGTGATTGACCTGTGTAGTAAACATTTCAGATGGGCTCATAATAAAATGGTAGCATCCTGAACAGTTTTAAATCCAAACACATTTTAAAGAAAATCTCTGTGAATGTGCAAGTAAACTGAAAATGGGTCCACACCGGATCTGTCAGCAGGATGCTAATCCAAACCAAAAAACAATTCAAGACAGAAATGGTTCCCCTGACCCAAAATCAACTTTGATCCTTCACCACAGGTTTCCAGACCTAACTTCTTCAGAAACCTTATGGACTCAGCTGAAGAAAAAAGACCAGATTAGAGGACTCAGTGGATTGGATGACCTAGACACCATTTTTCCTGTGTATATAAGACAAAGTTCTGATGTTTTTTTTATACATCAGTATATCAATATCTGCTAAATTCAGATGTCTATTCAGTGTTTTAACCAGAACTACTAAAGATTTATATATATATATTTTTTTTTACCAAGTATAGCCTGATTTATAGTTTTATGTTCTATAGATCCTTTCAACTCCTAAATGCTGAGTATTTCATCAAACGTTCTTTTTAATTTTCCTTTCTGCCGATTCCTGGTGGCAGAAGGCCTGCCACAACGCCCGAATGAGGCCGAATGACCTTTAATATTTTTAATGAAGTCTCAAGGGATTGCTGTCAATGTGTTCCCTTTGTCATCTCTTTCATGACGTTGGTGTTAGTACATTATAAGATGTTTCTTTTGAATCATGCCAACATCTATTTAGCTTCAGTGTTGCATAGCAACATGGATGTCACAGACTGTGCTGATAAGTGTCCAAAAGCCTGGTGAGGATTCTGCTGTGAAAGCATCTCTGGAAAGAAGTTTTTTGTTTTTTTTTGGACTGCACCTCTTAGTGAATTAAAATATGACGTTTCTCCCTATTTTGTGGAAGTGGCCTTGTAAAATCATCGAGGAAACTGTTGAGCCAGAGGCTGCAAATGTTCACAGTTTTTATTAGCAAAATGTTTTATTCTGAAATAAAATGTTACTGCAATTTTTACTGGTTGAAATTGGGAAAACATGCTCCAATCAAGCAAAATCGAACATAATGTTTAGCAGGGACTGGGCAAGTCTCTCATTTCATCCTCAGAACATCCCCCTATTCCCTTGTAGGCTCTGTGCTACTGTCTGGCTTTTAGCGTGTTGGGAAATTATAGTTATTTCACAGCTGGAGCACCAGAGTTGCCTCACAACCTCTTGTTAAAGACACAGTAAATTTGGGGCTCCCTTTCGTGAAGAAAGCAAACGAGACATGTATCACACACCCTGCTGCTATAGTAGCCCACAGAAAACCACCACAGCCTCTGTTTAAGAGCTAATGCTTAGTATTAAATTGTCTGCTAGGATTACTTCATTTATATTTCACATATTCCATCTTATCAAACTCAAATTTTTGAACTTGACTGCAAGAAGTGAAAATGAATAAAACATTATTGAACGCAATGAAGCACGTTTCCGCAAAGAGCTACCAAAGCAAGGTTAACAAGGTAGAGGGAGTCAAAGCAGCATTACAAATCCATGTAAAAGTGATGTCATCAGTGTGTCGATGCCGGTTAGGACTGCCACTTATCAAGTAACATGAAGGATGCCTACGAGGGTCGGGCCTGTTTGTTTTTCCTGTTGGCATGACAATTACCATGTCCCAAGTGATGCATCCTCTGTTTAATATGACTGATTTCTTGGTCTCAAGCAAATATTATGATTCACATTTAATATTTGAAGTGATTGATTGCCAACGATAAAGGTTGTATTCAAGATAACTCAGAAAGACGGATCATCCTACAGTGATTTAAAAAAGAACACACTGTTTTTGAACTAAGGGCAAGTTCATATTTTTTGTCATCTGTGTATACCCCAGTGCTGGTTGTGTTGTTTGCATAAAAATATGCTTTTAATGTAAAAAAATAAATAAACAAATCTGAGCCCATAGATGGGTTCAGCCACTATGTTAGTTTGGAATCCAATTCCAGTCAAGTTGCATTTGATCTGATAAAGAATAGCTCTTGTTTTTAACAGAACAACAGGCAGAAAACGGTGGAGGGCAACCTATCGATTTCTTGAGAGAGAGGTGACCGTTGAGGTTAATGCAGGTGCAGGAAGAGGGTCTGCCACCAGTTCAGCACAGCTTTCTGTTAGCCATTGTACTACATGATTAATCCAGAGTATTGACATATCCCCATTGGCCTGGTATCAATATCTTAATTCCTTAACTGGAAGAGATGCCACTAAAGCGCCTTCCATACATACATTTAGTGTACATCTTGGAAAAGAACACCAAAACAAATTTTGGAGACATTTTGCTATACCTTGCATAAATTATTTTTAATAAAAGTGAAAAAAAAACCAAAAAAAAAACATAGAAAATGAGACCCTAATATGATCCTCGGGTATTTGGGTTTTGGTTTCCTTTGCGGTTTCATTTCCTTGTTTATTTCATCAATTCTTATTGTTTCATGATGGTTCTTGCCGATATTGTTACAAATGTCCTGCCATACCATTTAATTCCTATCTGTCTAGTTTCTTCTTGTTTGTTCTACATTGGAATTTATTTCCTTATTATTTTACCTTTTTGGTTTGAGCTGTTATTCTGCCTTATTGCTACTTGCATTTGAATCTTAGTTTACCTTGACCATTGCTTTCAGCTTAATTTAGTTTTAGTATGTCTAGTTGCATAAACTATGCCCCTGGCTAATTTTTTATTATAACCTTCTAAACTGCCTTTTTCAAATGAATGTCTGTCCCTCGGACTTCTTGTCACATATTTGTATTGCAAAATTCTGTGCAGGACACCCTTAAACTAATATTTGGTTCTCTTGATTTAACACATGCCATCTGTTATTGCAAGATTTATTTTATATTTGCTTATTTACAGTCTTCAGTTTGGACAGAGGAGAAGAAGGAAAACAAAATATAAAATGAAAATATCAGACACTGGTGAAACAAGTCGAGGAGGCTGCAAAGATGTAGTTCAATGAGGACAGATTTCCAGTTCATCACAGCAATAATATTAGGAATTCTCCATATATCTGACACTTAAACTTAAGAAAAACAGTATCAATCTAGTGAAACATGCTATTTGAGTAGAAATGCTTAGCCTAACTGGAAAAAATGAGTGAAATGGTAGCTTTGTGGTGGTTTCTGATATTCAGACTTTTTAGATTTGTGATATCCCTCTTGCCTCTACAGTGAACCACAGCCTTCGTTTTCCATTAAATCTGACCAATGGGAGTTAAACTAAAGCCACTTATATTGTATCTGCTCTCATCTTCAGCTGTGTGTTTTTATAAATGAAGCATGTCGTTCTCATACTTTCATAAGCAACTTCACTGTGTGTGAGAAAGGAGGGTAGCGGGAAAGTGAGGAGGCCTTTTTTGTGATTGTGGCTGCAGTCGATTGAATGCTGCACATGTGGCTTTAACAGACGCATACACCCACTCTCACTGATATGCTTCTCTTTCCTACTGTCACATCATCCCTTTCTTCTTTTGAGTCCTGTTCCCAGCCAGAACACGACTCCTTTTCACTCCTTGGTTGAATTCAAACCAGCGTTGGTCTTGCCCTCCCACATGAACCTCTGCTCGCCCTTTTTCTCTCACCTCTGCATCTACAACTACTTCTTTTTCATCAAATTGCCTGGTGTGTGTGTGTGTGTGTGTGTTTACTGAATTGTCACTGCACTTCCAAAGTACTTCCAGCCCAAGTCTAATCTCCCTCTCTCCTGTTTTTTCTCCCCCCCTCCCTGCTGTTTCCCGCCTTTATCCCTGTTCATTCTCTCAGGTCTTGGATGTTATCCTCTCCGCCGAGACACGGACATCACTTAAACTAGCCAGGTGAGCTTTAAAACCTCTGCCTCTCTCTTTTGGTCTACTGTTTCTTCTATTTCTTCTCACTACATATGCCCTTGGACGCTGCTGCAAAGATGCTGCGTCACTGTGTGTGCCCGTCTTCATATCGACTCAGTTGTTGTCTCAGTTCAGAACCAGCAGCAGAAGAAAACATACAACTCTCTCGAGTCGCACCCGTTTCCTTCCCTGTCTCAGTCTCCTTGACATGCCAGTGTCCGTTTGAATACCTGGAAGCGCAGGTTTTCAGGTATTCAAATCAAATTTGATATTTGTATATGCAGTGTGTGTTTTTATGTTGGGAACTAGAGGATTCTCTGTTTATGCAGTCACAATCGACATTTACAGGCTTTCTTTACCAAAAACGGAGAAAAAAAAATCCCTTAAATGTCAATGTCAAAAAAGTGATTGCATAAATAATCACCCCCTTCGAGTCAGCATTTAGTAAATACACCTTGCAAAATACTCAAAATATTCTTATTGCTACAGATATCGAAATTAAATGTCATTATTTTAACACCGACATAAGCACTTGGATCACACAGAAACATTTCCTAATACTACCATGGGTATGTCACAGGCTTTCATTCACGCAGGATTGAGATCTTGATGTTGTTTTTATTTGATGTCGGCATCAACCCGGGTTAAGTTGTGCCAAGAGAATCGCTGTAAGGAAACAAAAATCTATAGCCATGGTTCTCAAAGCTATTTTATGTGTACCTCAATGTTGCTCATGATCCCTTGAGTGCCGTCAACAAATTGCAAGTTCTAAACAAGGCTAATTTACCACTGTAAATTGTTATTTGAAGCTAAACTGCAGGGCTACTCAGAGTCTAACTATTGTGGTTTAAAAATATTCTGTTTTCAGCTTCAAATGAAAGTTTTTTTTTTATTTTTCTTCTTGGGACAAAAATGGCAAACTGGGGCAAATCTCGAGGACAGCTGTGGAAGATGAAGTGAGCAACTGAGAGCAAGTGTCAGTCCATATGGGACTTGTTAGGAACAAAATTAGCAAAATTTTGATGAAATGCAATTAGAGTTTATTTAATGTTCATTCATCTGTTGCAGGAAGACAAAGAGCAGTAATGAATGTGCAAAACCCATAACAGACTAAACTGCTTATTGTTAACTAACATGCAGGGCTGCCAGACCTAAAGTTTTTTTTTTTTTTTTTTTTTTTTTTCATGGAGAAAACATAACAAAGTTATGTTGTTCTACTTGAAACTGTCACCATTATGGTGAAGTACTTTTCATATTAACAGCAAACCACAAAACATAATATACTGAATGGAAACTCAACAACTACATGAATTGGTGGATGTTGAGCAGGTCTAATAAACACAATTCACCTTCATATGGTTTGGTTTACTGTAATGCTGCACTTTTAAATGTGAATCAACTTACCTGGACATGCAGTTGCCACACATTCAGCAGCACAGACTGGGAGGGAAAACATGCAGGACAACAAATAATTCAAGAAAAAAAAAAAAAGGCAACAATACCACTTGTATGCACTTTTGCAATTTCTTGTTTTATCTTCAAACTTAATTGTTGTTTTTGCATACTGGGTCCTACTCAATATGAGCAGCAGGCGAAACAGGGAGCTGTCCATCATGTTGCTCTGGACATGAGACGAGTTGAGCAGAATAACTTCCCGTCTCTGTTTGCATTCCCTACAATTAGCTAGGGTATCACTTGCAAGTGGAGCGGCGCTCACCTTCAGATGGACCCGAGTTTGCTTGAAGTTAATTTTGACCTGAAACGGTCAAGTGTCCAAATCTCACTTCCAGACATCTTTTTAACCTTACCTGCTGATTGTAGTTTGATGGGAAGCCGATTGAGATTTATGGTAAACCTACAACAAGAATGCTATAAAATTCATAGTTTTAACTCGAAGCAGCTTTCTTATCGTTGATTGTGTCTTTCCTTATGCTTAGTTTTTTTTTCAGTCTAAATATGACCATATGTGTTTTATTCCTCAAAAATCTCTGATTCTAAAACTAATATTGGTCCTTCAGATGCCTCCAGTGTAGCAGCCATTTTTCTTCCACAATTCAAACACAATGAGAGAATTCAAAGTGAAAACTTTCCCATGTCTCTTTTCCCTGCTGTCTTCATGGAGGAAAAACGTTTGTGGCATTTCCCAGCAGGTCTGTTTGACCTTTTCCTCTCTGTTTAATCCCTCCTTTTCTCCTCACCCTCCATCAAATAAGCTAGTTGCTGAACCTGAAAGCCAAATGGTCCCGAACTTGGTCTGCTGCACTCTTGATACGATATATCTTAATTATTATAAAGATAAAAAAATGGCGGGGCAGCGAGGAAGGCAGGCAGGGAGGCTGATGGCATCTTATTGTTAAATTCAACAATCTGGCAGATTGTCAGAAAAAGCCTGGGGAGATTTATTGCTCGGTGTTAAGTCAGATAAAGATCAGGTGGGTCAGGTAGATGTCAGGGATCTGCCACATCTGAAAGTGCAATGATGGAGAGAGACGGACAGACAAATAAAACAAAAACACCGGAAGGGGGAGGAGGAGGAGGAGATAAACGAAACAGAAGCTGTTGGATGAGATCATGGGTGAAATATGCAAACAATTTATCTTTCTGTCATCTCTGAGTAATGTGAGGCTGAATAAAGAAGAATGTGGTTTGTTTTTACAACAGCTTATATATTTTGGGTGTTACCATGACGATGATAGTTCTGGATAATCTTTTACTTTTAAACTATTACTTTTAAAACGACAATCACCTTTCCGTTTGATTATTGAAGAGGGTCTTGAAGATTATTCTACAGCTACTTTTTTTTTTAACCGTTTACAATATGTTTTAGACGTAATTCAAATATAAAAAGATAAAATTAAGTATTTTCTTTCCCCAATGTTTTCCTACTTAATAAAGGTTAGATATCACAGAAAATCTATCACTTTTCTAGTCACAGTAAATTGATGATGTTTGGAAGATGTTTGCTTCTTACAGATTTCTTCTGTTTTTGTTTTTATGCCATGCTTAAATGTTTCAAGTCACGAAACATAGTTGTTGGTTTCATTCAGGCAGGCAGAAAAGCTTTGAAAACCAAGTGAAACATAAATTCTTCCCATTTTATAATCACGAATTAGCTGTGATTAAAGACTATTTCAATTTCACAAGCCAGACCCAGGCCTGATAATTACCTGACTTAGAGATGTAATACATCTTTTTAAATAGAAGTTCTATGATTTTTGACAGATCTTTAAAAAGCAACCATCATAAAAAAAAATAAATAAAAAAAATAAAACACACAGTAGAAAAGCAAAGTCACTGACATCTATTAGTTTGGAAAAGGTAAGGTAAGAAATTTCTAATACTTGTGGACTACAGTGAATCAAAAATGATTCAAATAATCCATATTTGGAGAAAACAAACAGCAGTGATGAACCTTCCCAGGAGAGACCAAAATCAACCAAAAGGTGACTGCAGATTATCTTGGTTAAACCCAAGATATTCAGTACTAAAATGTGTTTAATCTAAAACATTAAAGTGTTTCAAACAGCAAAAAAATAAAAAAAAATAAAAAAATAGAGGAAATATTTACAGGGTCCTACCCATTTTCACAGCACTGTAAATGTTATTCACTGGTGGTGTCTGAGGACACACAGAGAGAGAGAGAGGGAGAGAGAGACAGAGAGAGAGAGAGAAAGGGACGGGGAGGGAAAAAGGGATGTTTGTCAGCCACTGCAGCAGTGATGTAATGGCCCAGACTCCCCCCACTCCTCAGGCTAGACTCTTTTATTGTCTGTGTTTCCTTCCTGGTTTTCTCCAATCTCTCATCTGCATGCTTGGCACCTTACCTTTTTCCCCCCTTTTCTTTGTCATAAATGTAAACATACTTGCAAAATATACTATATTGCCAAATGTAGCTGCTTGTTTATCTTTACGCACATTAATTTGAGCAACATCCCATAATCAGTCAACCTTTCTCAACTATAATACCTGCAGCTCTTCAGGGAAGGTTTGCACAAGATTTATGAGAGTGTTTCCTATGATTTTTTTATTTTTATTTTTATAAAGGCATTGTTGTTTGAGATGAGCTTTTGTCTTTGACCTAGTAGGTCATACTGAAAAGCTGCTTTTTGAGCATTTCAAATATAAATACGTCTGTTCTGATAAAGGATGTTGGTTTTCGTTTGTGACATATACAGATAAATAAACATGTTAACATAATCCACTTTGCCCACATAGTAAGAGCAATTAATATTAATCAGTTTTATTTAACTAAACTAAACTTTATTTAACTACCTTGAAAAGGACAAATTCACTCAGTTTGCCTTTTGAAAGAACACTATTAGTAAACTTATTTCATATCCACAATTAATTTGAAGGTTTTTACTTTTGTCAAATACGATAAAATATATTTTAAGAATCTTTTGGTAGCTTTCACATCTTACTTCATTTTAACTTCTTTTTGGCATTTTCCGCATTCACGTTATTACAACCTTAATTTAACAATGCCATTCAAGTGTCCCACCAATGATCAAGCATGTTCAAACTGTAGTGCAATATGTGCACAATTTGAATTGTAACATGAAGCTAACTAATGGTTTTATATCAATTTGATTGGCTTATGGGGTTTATTGAGAAAATGGATGATGCATTTGAGGCCAAGAGGAAGCACACACTTCATACATCTTTAAAATAATAGAATTAGTAAATCTAATCCGCCAGTCCAGAGTAGAATGGTGTAAAAAGTGGGGGTCACCACATACTGAACAAGGCTCTCCAATGAATGTTTGTATTGTATATAACAGGTAAACAATGGCAAACAGTATGATGACATGCTATCGGTGACACTGGAAACTTTCCTATGACTAACATGTCCAGATAGTTAGCAATGAACCTGATGTATGCTTTCTGCTTGTCGTCATACACAAAGTTTTGAACAGTTCTAATGTTGACCTTGGTTTGGCACTGGGTGAAATGTCGAAGCAGGTCACCCTGAGGGTAAAATCAATCGA